CCTAAATGAGGGTTGTTTAATGTAACATTTATACTTATGCTTTGAAACAATGAGAGAATATTAGTATTCGTATCAAAATGATAACATAAGCACCAGAAATCAGGCATTGACAGATAATAATTTAGAATTCTTAGTGGGGTGAGGAGGGGAAGATGCTTATCCCTCTTAGTCTGAAGTGTATGGTTGCCACTCTTAGAGCTAAGCTAGAATGATGTAACTATTTAGTGCTGCTTCCAGGTGGATACCACACAGCATGCCTTTAATTAGATTTCATGGTACAGCTTTTTTTTTTTTTTTTTCCTCTTTGGATATCTTTAACATTCCTTTTCTTCCACAGCCTTCTTTGTTTCTTCTTTCTCTCTTTCTCCTTATTCACACTCTCCCCTCCCAAGTATGAGTTACTTGTTTTTATTCACAAATGGTATCTTTGGAAAATACTGCCAGAATTAGTTGCTTTTCGTTCTCCTGGTTCGTATTTGAGCTCATTCTCTCTCATACATATGCCTGGCATTAAATGATGACTTGCTGTTTTATAATATGTATGCAACGAGACCCCCTCATCATAATTTAACCATGTAGTTCTGCTTATTGGCAATATAGAGAAATTATTAATTAGCTAATTTTATAATAGGGTACACAGAAGCTCTTTTATAGCCTTGGGGCAAAGTACTTTAATTTACCAATATTGTATGATTTAAATCATGAAAATGAGGCATAAAGGCAAAGATATGAAAAAAAGGAAAGCTGATAAACATAGGAGTATAATATTAAAGGACTGGGAATGAGATACTGAGTTTGAGGACTTTGGGCTGATTTTATTATGCTATCTTTGTTTGTGACTCAGCCTAAGGTCATTTGCAGCAGGTCCCAGACTGAGAATTATGACCAACTAAATTAAATGGGAAATTAATTTGTTTTAAATGATACTAGACATTATCATGTGCTTTCTCTACTTCTCCATCCCAGTCAGACAAATTACTTCAAATGAAGCTCATGGACCTTCTAGAGATAGAAACTGATACACCCCATGCTGCTAACTCAGTGAGGAAACATCACTATACATAAAAGAGAAGAGCAAAGATTAACCTACATGAGCAAACTTTGGTTATATTCCTTCAGAGTTTGAAGATAAATTTTTTTCTTTTAAAAATGGATTCTCTAATACACTGCACATATTTAAAGTGTTCAATTTGACTAATTTTGATATACGTATTCACCCTTGAAACCATCGCCATAATATATTCATCACTCCCCAAATTTTCTCTGTGTCCCTTTATAATCACGCCTCCCACACCTTCCTGCCCGCTCTTCACCCCCATGCCACACCTCCACCTTTCCCAGGCAGCCACTGATCTGCTCTCTGTCATATAATAGTTTGCATTTTCTAGAATTGTATATAAATGGAATCAAGCGCTATGTATATAGTCTGGCTTATTTCACTCAGCTTAATTATTTTGAAATTGGTCTATGTTGTAGTGTATATTAATATATAGTTGCTGGGTAGTCTTTCACTGCATATGCCAGGAATAATCCATGGTTTGTTTATTCACTCACCTATTGGTGGACATTTGAGATGTGTCTGGTTTTGGACTATTACTAAGTGCTATGAACAAATTTTTGTAAAATATGCCTTTATTTCTCTTAGGTAAATATCTGGAATAATATGATAGATGTTTATTGGTTTTCTATAATGTTTGGGCCATTTGATATTTACAGCAGAATCATGAGAGACTCAGGTGTCCATCTTTAACAACATCTGGTATGGTTGATTATATTTTTACTTTTGGACATTCTAACAGTGTTTAGTTAAATCTAATGTCTTTTTCTTAGTCAGTTAATATAGTGAAGTACATTGACTGAGTTTCCTAATTATACTGATTCACTACCTTAGCTTTAATTTCCCCAATTTGGCCATGATGTCTTATCATATTTATATAGTGTTAGGTTAATGTTACTAAAATTTTATAAAATAGAACTGCAGTAGTTTTCTTCTTCTTCTTCTTCTTCTTCTTCTTCTTCTTCTTCTTCTTCTTCTTCTTCTTCTTCTTCTTCTTCTTCTTCTTCCTCTTCTTCTTCTTGTAATGTTTTTGTCTGGTGTTGGAATCAGAGTAATGTAATCCTAACCTCACTGAATAAGTTTGAAAGTATTTTCTTCTTTTAAGTTTTCTGGAAAAGTTTTTGTAGAATGGACATTAATTCTTCACTGTTGAAGCTACTTGAGCTTGGAGTTTTCTTTGTGGGGAGATTGTACACTGAAAATTCCATTTGTTTAATAGATATAGGGCCATTCAAATTACCTACAGGTTTTAGTTTTGGTAGTTAATGTTTCCTTTTCATCTAAGTTTTCAAATTTACTGACAAAGTTTTCTTCTGTTCCTGTGTCATTATTTTAATATCTTTAGAATTTATAGTGATAACATTTTCATTCCTGGGACTGAATTTTTTTGTCATCTCTCTATTTTCTAATCAGTCTAGCTAAAAGTTTATCAATTTATTGATATTCCAAAATAACCAACTTTTGGTTATATTTATTTTTGCTATTGTTTTTCTATTTTCTATACCATTGATTATTGCTCTCGTCTTTCTTTTCTTCCACCAGCTCTGTATTTATTTCCTGTTTCTTGACTTGAAATATTTTATCTCTTGTAATATAGGACTTCAGTCCTATAACTTTCTAAGTACTGCTTTAGTAATATCTCATAAATTTTCATATATTGTGCTTTTATTTTCAGTGTGTTCCAAACACTTTATTTTCCTTATTTATCTCTTTAACTCATGGATTATTTAAAAGTTTAATTTTCAAATATTTGGAGATTTTCCAGAAATATTGACTTATAATTTGTCTACTTGTTCCACCACATGTTGAAGAAAAGATATTGAAATCTCCTACCATAATTACAAATCTAGCTACGTTATATCAGATTTTGCTTTATGCATTTTGCAGCTGTTTTAGGTAAATAAATGTTTTGGTATTGTTATGTTCTCTGAAATGACCCATTTATTATTATAAAATGACCTTATATATCACTGGTAATATTCTTTGCTCTGAACTTTACTTTCTAATATTAATATAGCCACTTCAACTTTCTATTAATGTTATCATGGTATATATTGCTTCTATTCTTTTTAACTATTTTTTTCCTGTATATCTGAAATATGTTCCTTGGAGGCAGTATATATTTGAGTCTTTTTTTTTTAATATGTAAAACTCTTTAAAAAAACATATTTATTGATTTTTTACAGAGAGGAAGGGAGAGGGATAGAGATCTAGAAACATTAATGAAAGAGAAACATTGATCAGCTGTCTCCTGCACACTCACTACTGGATATGTGCCCTCAACCAAGGTACATGCCTTTGACTGGAATCAAACCTGGGACCCTTGAGTCTGCAGGCAGATGCTCTATCCATGAGTCAAACTGACTAGGGCTTGAGACTTATTTTTTATCTGATATAATAATCTTGCTTTTTAACTGAGGTAATTAGACCATTTATAGTTAATGTGCTTATTTACATGGTTAGGTTTAAATATATTTTCCTGCTGATTTTTTAAAATCCTTACCCAAGGGTGTGTTTTTATTGATATTAGAGAGAAAAGAAGGGGGGATGGAGGAGAGAGAGGGGGAGAGAGAGAGAGATCAGTTGCCTCCCATTTACATACACACCAAGGATAGAATCCACAACCTAGGTATGTGCCTTGACTGAGAATCAAACATATAACCTTTTGGAGTATGGGATGTTGCTTCTACTAACTGAGCCAGCTGGCCAGAGCCCTCCTGTTGTTTTTTATTTTCCTACCCTCCTTTTCCTTTTTCATCTCCTTTCTGCCTTATTTTGGGTCAACTGAATGTTTTTATGGTTGCAGCCTATGTATTTAATTTACTCATTATATTTTGTTTTGTTATTTTATAATGTATTTATCTTCAATTATCAGTATAACTTAAAGTGTTATATTGCTTCTCATATAGTATATGAACTTTCTATTATTATACTTCCATTTTATACACATCCAACTTGTTTTTTTTTTTACATATGTTTAAACTTCATACTAGATTATTTTTGTTTGAATAGTCAGTTCTTTTTTTTCTACCTGATAATAATTTTTACTGTAATATTCCAATTTTCATCACACAGCCACCTAAGTCAATTAAATAAAAAGGTATAATAAAAGAAACTTAGTTGAAATCATAATATACTTTTAAAAAATAACAACATAAAAAATGTAAACATTGCCTCTTTAAAAAGAAGTTGCTCCTGGTAAGTAATATGCATACACATTGCCCCAAATACACACACACACACAAATGTTTACACTAAAATATTTATGTATGTAGCAGTCCACTTAAGACTACTCTTTGTATAAGCTTATTTTATAAATAGGCTACTCTAATCAGTGCAAGTAGTGAGACTATGTAAAATGTCTGAAGCATTTTAATTTGGCAAATATTTTCCAGGAAAATGTCTAATCTATCAAAATACTAAATTTCTATTGTAAGAATTTATGGTTCCACTAAACATTCAGTAAAAATAATGTAGTTTCCCTACTATGCACAACATAGGACTTTTGGTGTCTATTAAAAACAATCCCTGAGTTCTGTGAAGTTGGTTAATATCTCTTAATCAAGTGTGTGTAGCACAAATAACCAAACCCTGCTCCATCGTGTTAGAAAGTGTCTGATGCGTTCAGGAAGAATATTCAAAGACAATATGAATAGTCTTTATTCTAGAAGGCAAGGAGCAGAATTTTATGACAATGGAGAGGGTTAACCCCCCAACGCGGCTGGCCCAACCTTAAGTGTCAACATTAAAAAACACACCAAATATGTCTATAGCGATTTTTACGGTAATTTATTGACTTCAAGTCACAGGTCTACTGTAGGGTTCTCATAAGTCATGTAGCCAGAGGCTTACAAATGAGCACAGTCTGTGATGGTGTCATCAAGCTAAGCGAGAGAATTGCGAATTCTTTCCTCGTCTGAAGGGCTCATACTGAAGGGTGGTGTTAGTCCGACATACTGGAGATGTACCTTGCTCCAATAAGCATCAGCAGGCTACTCACTATGAAAAAGCCCAGGGGCAGACTAGAGAAGGCAGGGGAAACAGTGCTTTCAGTAGCCTGAGTTGTAATCCAACCCATGGACTTGGCGGTAGCTTTCTTCCACCTCGAATAGCGGCTTTCGCTTTCCATGGGGTTGATCTGGGGCTCAATCTGATCCACCAGGACAGCTGACAAATCCTCGGGTTTAAGGCTCCAGAGGCCCACCCCTTCGGCAGCTCCTGCTGCTATGGCGGCTCCCAGTGCTGTTGTGTCAGTGACAGTGGGCTTGATTACTGGAATCTTCAGAATGTCTGCTTGTAGTTGCATGAGAATTTTGTTTTTTGTCATTTTCCCATCCACCTGCAGATGTCTGAGTGGAATGCCACAGTCACGGTTCATAGCATCCAAAATCTCTCGGGTTTGGAAACAGATAGCTTCTAAGGCAGCAAAAGCAATGTGACTTTTATTGGTGAACTGAGTGAGCCCGCAGATGATCCCTCTTGCACTGGGATCCCAGTGAGGCGCATACAACCCCGAAAAGGCTGGGATGAAGTAGCAGCCGTACGAGGTACCCGCTTCTCTAGCAAGTTCTTCGATGTCTTCTGAGGTGTCTATAATTCCAAGGTTGTCTTTCAGCCAGCGGATCACCTCCCCGGCTATAGCCACTGAACCTTCCAGGGCGTAACATACAGGCTTGTCTTTGCCTAATTTGTAAGCCACGGTGGTCACCAGGCCGTGGTCAGAAAACACACACTTGTGGCCTGTGTTGCACAGTAAGAAACAACCTGCACCGTACGTGTTCTTGGCCTGCCCTTCCTGGAAGCACATCTGTCCCACCAGTGCAGCAGACTGGTCCCCCAGGCACCCAGAGATGGCCACCCCTTCCAGGGCCCCAGCTTTTACCTGGCCATAGATCTCAGAAGAGCTGCAGACGCTCGGAAGGATGCTCATGGGGATCTCAAAAAAGGCACAGAGCTCTTTGTCCCACTCCAGGGAGTGGATGTTGAACAGCATCGTCCTGCTCGCGTTGGTCACGTCTGTGCAGTGGACACCGCCCTGGGCGCCGCCGGTCAGGTTCCAGATGAGCCAGGAGTCGACGGTGCCGAAGAGCGCCCTCCCTTCCTTGACAGCCGCCTGGACGGTTTCCACGTTGTCCAGCAGCCAGCGCAGTTTGACGGCGCTGAAGTAGGTGCTGAGGGGCAGGCCCGTCTTGGACTTGACGAAGTTGTTGTTGCCCGGGATTTTCTGGCTCAGTTTCTCCACGGTGGACTGGGTCCTGAGGTCCAGCCAAGCGATGGCGTTGTAGAGCGGCTCCCCGGTCAGCTTGTCCCAGACCACGGTGGTCTCCCGCTGGTTGCTGATGCCGATGGCCTTGATGTTGGAGACGTCGATGTCCAGCTGGCTGAGCTGCTCGCACGTCTTCTCGATGGACGTGTACACGGACTGGATGATCTCCTTCGGGTCCTGCTCCACCCATTCCTCCTTGGGGAGCTCCTGGGATATCTTCACCTGGTGCTGACCCAGCAGCTCCGCCGTCTTGGGGTTGAACACCAGAAAGCGAGAGGAGTTGGTCTCCTGGACCACACCCCCGACCAAGGGCCCCGCGGTCGGGGCTGCCATGAAAGCGGTCGGTCGGTGGGCTCGGCCGCGTCGTTTCCAGGTGATAATTGTGGGGGGAGGGGGTTGGAGAGGGGGGGGCAGGGGGGGCACGCGGGGACTCCAGAGTCTAAGGCGCAGGCGCAGCTCCCACCTGGGCTGCACCTGCAGCAGCTCGAGGCGGCCCGTTGTCCTTTAACTGGTGCCACATCCCACCCTACCCCCTCGCCCTCCTACTCAGTCATCTTTTAAGGGAGTCATCTTTTTTTTCTTTTTTTTTTTTTTTTTTTTAACAAAATCACATGTTTATCCATGTAATGACTATTACCGGCGCTTTCCATTCTACAATATGGATGCACTTTACTGTTATTTCCTTTCTGTTTGTAAGATTTCCTCCAACGCTTCTTGTAGTGCACCGACGCTGAAAAGGAATCATTTCTCCTTTTGAATGTCTGAAGTATTTCCTCTTAATATTTAAATATTTAAATATTTAAATATCTGAATATAGAATTGTAATGAGTTTACTTATTTAAATGTTAGGCCCTAGATGTATTGCTTCACCATCTTCTCTTGTGTGATTTCAGGTGTGAACATCATGGTCATCCTTATTTTTATCGATGTCTATTTTCTTTCACTGCCTTTAAGTTTGTTTCTCTTTATCCATGGTTTTGGTTAGTTTTATAATGACATTTCTTGGCATATTATTTTTCTGTGCTTGGGGCTCATGAAACCATTAGATTTATATATTTCATAAGACTTTGGGCCATTATTTGTGTGTGTGTGTGTGTGTGTATATATATATATATATATATATATATATATATATATATATTTTTTTTTTTTTTTTTTTTTTCCTCCTCTGACTTAGGAAATCTAATCACACATATTGGAGTTGTTCTACAGATCACTGATGTTCTACTCATTATTATAATTATCTTTTCTTCCAATGGTTCTTTTAGATTTCTATTGCTATTGTCTTCAAGTTTACTAATCTTTTCTTCTTTAATGTCTAACCTGCTAATTCATCCAGTGTATGTTTCACCTCATACATGGTAGTTTCTTCCAAGAAGTTCAATTGGAGTTTTTGGATATTTACTTAATTTTTTAACACATTAACTACAGTTAGAATACTTTTAATTTACTTTCTGCTAATTGTAACATCTGTGTCATTTCTGGTTCAATTCTAACTGATTAATATATCTCCAAAAATTTTATGAGATCAGAAAATCAAAATTAGCAACCAAACTTAATTTGAATAGTAAGGTATTGATTTCAATAGTAGATGTTATAGATTTTCCTGATAATATCTTTGTTTAGTTCTAAAAATTCCATCAGAAATTTTCTAAGCAAAAATTTGGAGACAATACTTACCAGTATGTCAGTGTACTATATTATGATTGAATTTGAATTTGCATGGAACAGATTGTTTTAAAATTTTAAAAATGTTATATTTTTCTTCCCAAGTATTTGGCAGTAGTGAACATATTAATCTACACAATAAAAGGATTTGACCCAAAATTTCATCTTTACATTTTCTCTCCTCTCCCATACTAATATATATATATATATATATATATATATATATATATATATATATATATCCAAATGTTTATAAATCTATTAGCTTTTAAACTTAGGGATACTTTAAAGAATTATATATTTAATACAAGTAACTTATTAATAAAATCAGATCTGAGTAGTAGTTTATATTTAGTTTTACTGTTAATAAATTAAAACTACTAAATAACCAGATTATAGTAGTCTTAATTTAGTTTAGGAAGAAAGTTGATTTAACTTTCTTAGAATAATTGCAAATTAAATGATGGCTTTAATCAAAGTTGATTAATAATGTTTTTTTTTTCCAACTAAGATACATAAAATAACTACTATTTTTTTCATTTCAAAAAAATTAAAAACACTGAAACATTTGCTTGTTATTCTATAAATGTAGCTTTCCTATATTCTAATTTAAGTAATCATTGTCAGAATCTTATTTGTGAAGACATTCAACTTTATAAGGAAATTGCTATTTCATTTGCATTTTATTCTATACAAATGCAAAAGCTTTAATGGTGGACATACTATTCAGAATAGTCTCCCTCAAATCAGAAGCTTCTTCCAAAAGTCTGTTAATATGGGATTTTTAAAATTAGATTTGTCAAACCAATTAATTTTCTATTATTACATATCTTTAAGACTATTCTCTAGATGCAGTTTCTTTTAATATACAATTGTTTAAATGATGTTCACATTGTAAAGTTCAAAATGTATTCATTCATTCAGTAATTTGACAAAAATTTTTTGAGAGGTTGCTGTATATGGGCTTTATTATAGGCAATAGTGGTGCATATACATTCTTCCTGCCTTTATTACTAAAACTAAATATAATATTGACATATTTTTCTTTGCACATCATATTTTAGAGTGCCATTCATTTATTTTTTTTTCTCCTATCAAATCCACTAATTATAAATTCAACGAGGACAGGTATCTTGGCTGTTTTATTCAATCTTGTGTCTTTGGCACTTAGAACAGTGTCTGACCCAAAGCAGAAACTCAAGAAATATTTGTTCACTGAGTTAATGAATAACACTACATATGATCCTAACTTTTTTATTATAAGTAATTATCATGAAATCAAGATCATTTTAATTGCTTAATGAGCTATTGGTTATTTAATTTACAATAGAATATAATAAGGTAGATTGATGAAAAGGTAAAGGGATGGAGAAATATAAAAAATATATAAAATTAGTATAGCAAAATATTAATTGTAGAGTTAATATAGTAGATACAATGGTGATGGTGGTAAACTTCTATCAACTTTTCTATATGTTTACAAATTTTTATAAGAAAATATGAGAAAATGTAATGCAAATAAAAAACTGGTCAAGCTGCAAAATGCAATTAATAGAGATCAGTTTGATCAAGGTTCTTTTGTTTGTTTGGAGAGACAGTTGACAGGAATAAAAGAATCACTGCCAAGTTTATGATAATTTGAGAGAGTCTGTGGTGGAATAATGTATCGTAGTTATAATGGTTCATCTCAAGAAAACCATTCATTATGAATTTTTTTTATTAAGGTAGTTGCACTTTCATTGTAGGAATTTTCTTCTGCCATTGTAAAACTTACTTAGGAAGCCAGCTGCATCTTTAACTCCTTGGCTTTTAACAAGAAATATCAGGCATTCAAAAATGTTGTTACTCTTTTCAATCTCTAAAAAACGGGAATCAGTTTTGAAAGTTTCAAGTTTGTAAAATTTGGACTTATCTGAGCCTTTAAATTTGAGAGTGTGTGCTTTGATGGCAAGGGCTTTGAATTATATAGTCTGTGGCTAGGAAATTTAACATTTTTTTTAGGTTGTGTCATAACCAATGTATCATCACAGTTGGTAATCTTCAAAACACTGATGCATTTTTCTACATGCTGTTCCCAAATGTGCTGGACCAGCTGTTGAGAGCCATGCCATCCAATTTCCTAGAGAAGACCTCTTCTTGGACCACTAATCACCTCTCAGACCAGCCTTCTTTGTTCTAATAAAGACTGGAAAGATTAAAGCAAGTTATCATGGTTTATTACTCACGTTTTCTCTGTTAAGCCTGGCTGTGGAAGTCACGGCATCTACATTAGGAGGCCTTGGCATTCTAAGTAAGCCCTCATAACAGACAAGCCAGTGAGTTTAATGTTCACAGCTATGAAAGTGATTTTATCAATGTTTGAATCTTGAAATGTTTTATTGTGTGTATGTGCATGTGTGCGTGTGTGTGTGTGTGTGTGTGTGTGTGTGTGTGTGTGTTCTTTGTCATTTTCCCAGTGAAAATTGCCCTGACACTGATCTCAATGTTAATGTATTCCTGCTTACATTTGACTTTGGAATATGTTACGGCTAATTATCATTACACAGGATGAGAGATCAGAGCCCTGAGTGAGGTGCTTGGGTTTAAGGAACAAAGGGAGGCCAATTCGGCATCTTGGCTCCAGGCCCAACAATTGTAATGGAACATCTTGAATCTGGTGGGGTCTTTGCATCTATGTATTTTACTTTTTCTCCCTCAGTTTTTGAAAAGGGGTAGGGGGAAAGGGATTAAGAGTTTGAAGGGGCTGAAGGGGCTGAAATTTCCCCTTGAACATGATGTCAATATGTTGGCACGTCTCCTTTTATTAAGATGCCATCCAACTGATAACAAGTCCTGCTGTGTTTTACCAACATAAAAAATTAGACTGGAGACCGAGGAGCGGCAGGTGGCTTTTGGCACCAAGAAATAATCACACTTGATGTGGAAAGTAAAGTAAAAGGAGCCATCTGTTCACTGCAGGAGGACGTGAAAAATCACATTAACATATTGTCACTAACATCATGAAATACACAGTTAATAATAAATTTAGTTATCATGGCAAGTCTCGTTGGATACTTACTCTGAAAATGCAGAATGTGAAAGATGTTTTTTCTTGCCCACCTCATCTTTTTTTGGGGGGATGGGGATACAGATTTTAAGTCTTTCTTTGGTGTGTGTGTGTGTGTGTGTGTGTGTGATGGTTGGGAAGAGGAATGTGTTTCATTTTAAAGCCTTGCTGTAGTTCATTGTTGCTGACTCAGTGAGCAAGAGAGCTTTTCATGCAGGTGGAATGAATGACTTCTTCGGTTCAATCCCTTATTGTCCAGCATGTTATTCTGTAACTTCTTACCTGGATGGAGAAAAAGAGACGTAGGAAAGAAAAGGTTGTTTTAATCATGTCCCCACATGAGATCCAGAGCACACAAGTCCTTCCAGGAAAGGCGTGGGGTGGCAGAATGCTGCTTCAGGAGAGGCTCAGTGACTGGTCAGTAGTGTCCCTGGTAGACGGGTTTTAGCAGATTCTGTGTGACATGCCTGCACATACTTTACAAGAGAACAAATGTCTTAAAACAATGTGATGAGATGGTTTTCTTCCTCTTTTCTGTGCCTGTGTTATTTAAATAGGCCAACAAAATAAAGAAGTTACAGAGGCTGGAGTTCAAACTGACCTTGGAAAATTGAAATTG